TTGGTTTCACAATACAAAGCCTGATAGAATAGCTGGCTTTCTCCCCTTTGGTGGGACTAGAAACTGTGGGCTGTATCTTCCCCCAGATACACGCCTGCTACATAAGCCCTCCCTGGGGAAGTCAGTTCTACAAGGTTTAACTAGTGACACAGCAAAGCCAGAGTTCCTCTCTAGAACATTTTTTTTAAATGGTTGAGTCACCATGTGGTTGCTGGGAATTGAACTCAGGACCTCTGGAAGAGCAGGCAGGGCTCTTAACCCCTGAGCCATCTCTCCAGCCCTAGAACATCTTTTAAGAACAAGATCAGAGCAAGTTTTATTCTGCTTATGGGTTTGGTCAAATAGCTTTTGATCTATGCAACTTAGAGTTCAAGTCTATCTGTTAATGTATATGGAGAAGCACACAGAGCCACAGCCTTTCAGAGAAATGGAAGAGGCAGCGTCATCTGTTCAAACAAGGCAGGCTTTCTTGGCAGGATGAGTGTAAGCAAGTGCCTGTGATTTTCAGATTGCAAACCATGTTGGAAAGTGTCTTAATTTCTTTTCTGTTTCTATGATAGAACAGTCCAAGAGAAGGCAACACAGGGAAGAAAGGTCTACTTTAGCTCACAGTTCCAAGTTACAATCTACAAGACAGCAGAAAAGTCAAGGCAGCAAAACCTCAAAACAGCTGGTCATATCATATCCAAAGGAATGCTTCACATCGCATACACAGTCAGGTGTGCAGAGAAATGAATGCATGTGTCATACCCATAGTCAGGGGCGCAGAGAAACGAATGCAGGCACACTCTCGTGCTCGCTGGCACGCAGCTTGATTTCTCTACTGCAGTATAGTCCTAGAAGCCCTGCCTCGGAAATGGTGAACTATGTAACTGCGTCTTGATCTCTGAAGCATTAGTTTCTCTTTTCTTAGTTCCTGTTTCTAGGCTGTCACAAATTTGGTATCGTGGTTTATAAAATATAGTTTTGTTTGTAAGATGTAGTTTTACTTTAGGACATTACTAAATAATAGATTTCCTAATAGTTCATAAAACCAATTCACTTTGAGACTGAACAGCATGAGGAAGCCTTTATAACGAGTGTCTGGATGGGATTCCTGCACAGCTTTGCTCAGCTGTTTGTTAGCATATGGCCTGCTACGTGGGGCTCGATGCTACGCACCTCTCTGTGGGAATCCTCAGCCTTTTACACACACAGCTTCTGCTAAAGAACTACTTACTGACTTGGGGCTGTGGAAATGGCTCATCGGTTGGGAGGACCCAGGTTCAATTCCCTGCACCCACATGGCAGCTCACAACTGTCTGCACCTCCAGTTCTACAGGATCCATATATGCATTTAGGCAAAACACCCACACACATAAAATAAATTAGAAAAACAAACTACTGACTCGAGAGACCATGTAACTTGTGCTTTGTAGGAGTGAGGGCCTAGCGGAGGGGATGAGTCAGAAGGTAAAGATGCTCATTGAGGCCTTTTTGCTGGGAAATGGCTACTTGCTGTCGATGGGCAAGTTCATGAAACCAGGAAAGTGGTGATGGTCCTGGCTGGACACTACTCTGGACGCAAAGTCATCATCGTGAGGAACAGGATGATGGCACCTCAGACCGCTTTTACAGCCATGCTGTGGATGTGGCTGGAATTGATTGCTATCCCCAAAAAGTGACAGCTGCCACGGGCAAGAAGAAAATTGCCAAGCGATCAAAGATCAAGTCTTTTGTGAAAGTTTATAACTACAATCACCTCATGTCCACAAGGTACTCTGTGGACATCCTCTTGGACAAATCTGTTGTCAACAATGATGTCTTTAGAGACCCAGCCCTGAAATGCAAGGCGAGGCAGGAAGCCAAGGTCAAGTTTGAGGACCGATATAAGACAGGGAAAAACAAATGGTTTTTCCAGAAGCTTCTCTTTTAGGTATATTTTTGTTTCCATCATTAAATGTTAAAAAAAAAAAAAAGATGCTCATTGAGAAGTCAATATGGTGGAAGGAGAGGAGTTGTAAGAAGACTAAACTGTCCTCTGACCTCCATACATGCACCATGGCACACACATACTCCCCACTCAAAAACAAAAACTAGTGGGGCGGTAGTGGTGCACGCCTTTAATCCCAGCACTTGGGAGGCAGAGGCAAGAGGATCTCAGTGAGTTTGAGGCCAGCCTGGTCTACAGAGCGAGTTCCAGGATAGGCTCCGAAGCTACACAGAGAAACCCTGTCTCAAAAAACCAAAACAACCAACCAACCAAACAAAAAACAAAACAAAACCCCCCCAAAACTAAACAGATATAGTAAGGACAAGCACCTGTCACCGATGAGGGACAAAGGTAAAAACTGTAACTTTAGTATCACGGACTGAGTGTGCCAGAGATAATTAGCATAGGTCTGTCACTATCAGGTTACTCAGTGCTCACGAGTGTTCTGCCTACATGAATGTATGTGCATCATCTTGGACCTGGTACTCACAGGAGCCAGAAGAGGCCCTGGATCTGGAACTATGGATTGTTGTGAGCAGCCACGTGGGTGCTGGGAATTGAACTTGGTTCCTCCACAAGAGTAGCAAGCACTCTCAACTGTGAGCCATCTCTTCAGCCCCAGTAAACAGTTACTGATGAATGGATGACTACACAATGCTGTAGTCAATTCAGACGGTTTCTCAATGGGTCACTGACCACTGAGGGTGCACAGCGGGAGGCAACTGATTGCCAAGAGCATCCTGCTCCCCGGTACTGAGGAAACTTAAATCAAGGGTCCCACCTTCCCATTTACTTACGAAATAGATGAAATGTTCTGTAAAAGCAAAAGCTAAAAGAAGAGAACTTATGGATCTGATCAAATGTGAGAGCACAGCCCACCTAAGAACTTTCTCATGATGGCGTTGCCTTGCTTCAGGGCCTCTGCCCTCTGCGCTGGGTCGAACACCAGCCAGTCAATCACGTCCACCTTTACACGGTCCTCCTGTTCATTGGAAGCAGAGAAAACCCTTTATTTCAAAGCTACCTTGCAAATGAGGGGAACATATAACACACTCTAAATGGAAACATTTTCCCAACATGATATAAAATTATGAAAGAAGCCAGGCAGTGATGGCGCATGTCTTTAATCCCAGTACTCGGGAGGCAGAGGCAGGTGGCTCTCTGTGAGTTTGAGACCAGCGTGGTCTACAGAGCACGTTCCAGGACAGCCTCCAAAACCACAGAGAAATCCTGCCTCAAAAAAAACAAAAAACAAAAAACAAAACGAAAATTATGAAAGAAGCCGACAATCCTCAGTTTGTTTTATTTAACAGCTTTCCACTAAATTACTGAAAGAACTCCCTGTCCTATCAATGTGGAATTATTCACTGTATGTCTCACCGACCTAACTCATCAGATATGGGACACAGAAAATAACTCTGGGGCTCACAAGTGCTAGGCAAGCACTGAGCCACCGCCAACCCACGCTGTTGCCCTTCTGAAACGTCACCTTTTGTCCTAAAGACAGACGTCAGCAGATTTTAAAGCATCTGCCAGACCCGATGAGCAAAAAGCCAACACTCAGGTCTGCTCAATAAAAGAATCCTTCTTGACCAGAATTCATAGTTTCAATAAAACCTTAAAACTGCTGCCAACTTTTGTCATTTAAAAGGCCTTGGGGGCTAGAAAGATGGCTCAGTGGTTAAGAGCACTGGCTAATCTTCCAGTGGTCATGGGTTCGATCCCCAGGGTCTACATAGTGAGTCACAATTGTCTCCAACTCCTGTTCCAAAGGATCCAGCACATTCTTCTGGCCTCCTTGGTCACCAGACATACATTCATGCACGTAAAGCACCCATGCACATAAAATAAAAAGGTTTTAAGAAGAAAATATGTACAGTAAAAAACGTATAGCCCTTTATAGTGACATGCAGTTTTTTAAAAAGAAGCGCATGCCTTTAAACGCGGCACTTAGAAGGCAGAGGCAGGTGGATTTTTGTGAGTTCAAGGCCAGCATGGTCTATAGAGCGAGCTCCAAGATGGCCAGGGCTACTTGGAGAAACCCTGTCAAGAAGAACCAAAAAAAAAAAAAAAAAAAAAAAAAAAAAGAGAAAAGAAGAAACCCTGCCTCAAAAAAGCAACCCCCCCCCAATGCCCCCCAACCTCAAACAAACAAAAGGCAGAAGCCAGGGTATTTTAAGGAAGGAGTTCACCAAGGAATAAGAAAATAGTTTATAAGTTACATGAAATTCAACCCCCCTCACCCAAATTACCTCAGTAGTGCCAGTATCTAGGGATGGAGCCAGGTCATGGTGACTAAATTCACCATTATCTTTCTTTCGAATATTCTCAACTACAGTTTTTGTTATTGTTGCAACATCCAAATCTAAGGAATTTTCAAAAATGAAAAACAAAAAACAAAGAGTAATTATTAATGTGAATATTCTCTAAATAGTTACAACAACTTGGTAAATCTGGAATAATTCTTTTTCATATTTTTGGCATTGAGGATTGAATGGATGACTCTACAAAGGTTAGATAAGCATTCTGCCACTGAGTTACGTCCCCAAACCTTCGAACAACTTCTTAAAGATGTAACACACAGTGAGATGGTTCAGCAAGTAAAGGTGCTTGCCACCAAGTCTAATGACCCGAGTTCAGTTCCCAGGGCCCACATGGTAGAAGGAAAGCAACTGCAAGCCATCTTCTGCTCTCCACATGACCACCATGGAACCTGAACACATATGAACTGCCAAAAATTTATTTTAAATAGATACACTTGGGAAGACCCTACAGAAAACATCACAATTTGAAAATATTTTAGGCTGGCTGTGGTGCCTATACCTGTAATGCCAGCACTTGGTAGATGAGTCAGGAGGATCACTGAATCTGAGGCTAGCCTGGGGCAAGTTCCAGGGCAACTAGTCTACATAGTGAGAGTTTTTCGGTAAAAATCAAAGCCGAAAACAGAAACAAAATTTTTACACAAGTTGTTTTCATTCTCCAAAAGAATTTCACTGAGACCTTTACTCCTGCTTTTCTTCTTCAGAAGAAGACAAGCCCGAAGGCCCATCAGCGAGCTGAGTGCATGCTGCACAACAAAGAACGAGGACCCGGGTTCAGACTGCCAGACTCAGCCTGGCAAAAGCTGGACGCAGTAGCAGCAGTGTAACAGCAGTGTTTCTATGGGGAGGAGGGAGGCTGCGACAGAGAATCCCAGAAGCCCTGGGACCAGCCAGCCTGGCTTATGCAGCAGGAAAACAACAGACCCTGCCTCCAAACAGGGTGGAGGTAGGGAACCAACATCTAAGGGGGTTTTCTGACCTCACACATGTGCTCTGGCATGTTCATATCCTGGCATGAGCAAACCCTTCCTGTTCTTTATACACAATCACAATTTTTTAATGTGAATAGATGTAGGGGACAAATATGAATAAAATACCTGTAAGTAATCATTCAAAAAAGTCATAACAAACTCATTATTTTATACAATTACTAAAAAGAAGTAATAGATGAAATTCTTTTCTTTCAAAATATGGATTCTCTGTGTAGCTCTGGAGGTTGTCCTAGAACTCACTCTGTAGACCAGGCTGGCCTCAACTCACAGAGATCCACCTGCCTCTGCCTCCTGAGTGCAGGGATTAAAGGCGTGCTCACCACTTCCTGGCAATAGGTGAAACTCTTAACTACTTTTTACCTGCTTCCTTAGCCAGCTCCAGGCACTGCTGCCGTTGCTCAAATTCTGTAACACCTTCCAAAAACAGTGCATACTGGGCAACGGCAAGGTCTTGAGGCAAATGACACGTGTAAAATGCGATAAGGTTTGTGTGCTTCTCACTTATTAAAAGCTAAGAAACAAACAAAACAAATCAAAGTTAGCAACTGCTTTGAAAAAAATTGGCTTCAAAATTTCAAATACATTTAGGAAAGACTCATAGATATGTATTTCAGGTTGTAATACTTTGAAATTCTAGAAATTGTAGTTAGAAGAATTTAAAGATTTCTATGGAGTCTGGTGGTTTCCATATGGTATTATGGCTGTATCATCTGGGGGTAGAGGGATGACTCCATAGTTAAGAGCACTTGTTGCTCTTGTAGAGGACCCAGGTTTGGTTCCCAGCACCTATATGGTATTTCACAACCATCCAATATTCCAGCGCCCTCTTCTCACCTCTAGGGCACATGCATGCATGCACATAGAAACATTCAGGCAAAACACTTATAACACATAAATAAAAACAAATCTTAAACAGTGCCATTTTATTTTTGTTTTCATTAAAATAGACAAAAAATCAAATTGTAGATTCTTAAACCTTACCTGTATATATGTCTTTAAAACTTCAATGGAAACTTCTTCCTTCATAGGAAAAAATCAGTCCAGTTATTAACACAACTACTTATAGGTACAATAATATAGTTTCTAATAAAAATTCTAATTTGAAGCCATTTAAGGATTTAATATTTCACTAATCTAAATGCTTATCAAAGCTCATGTATTGCTTCATTTCAATTAAACAAAATAAAACAAGGCAACTGCTGGGCAGTGGTGGTCTATGCCTTTAATCCTAGCATGGGGGTGGGGTGGGGGGATGTGAGGGTGGAGTGGGGGGCTAGGGGGTGTCAAAGGCAGGTGGATCTCTCTGAGTTCAAGGTCGAGGTCAGCCTGGTCAACAGAGCTAGTTCCAGTACAGCCAGGGATACACAGAGAAACCACCCTGTCTCGAAAAACTACCCCCCCAAAACCAAAAACCCTCTTTTTTTTTTCTGTTTTTACAAGACAGGGTTTCTCTGTATTGTTTTGGAGGCTATCGGTCCAGCCCAGCCTTGAACTCACAGAGATCCGCCTGCCTCTGCCTCCTGAGTGCTGGGATTAAAGGCGTGAGCCTCCACCGCCCGGCCCCAAAACCCTCTTTTTAACATTTATTGTGTATGTGTGTATACAACTTGTAGGGGGTCAGTTCTCTTGTTCCATTATGTGGGTTCCAGGGATTGAACCAAAGTCACGAGATTTGCTGCGACAGGTCACTGGCCCTCTCATTCTTTGTGGGTGGATACTGTCCATGATTTACAGAGGAAGGAAATTCTTACATACTCTGTCCATGTTTCACAGAGTAAAAAAGGAGTTCTTAGATAACTATGGTAGATACTGTCCATATTTTACAGGGGGAGGAAGGAGTTCTTTTCACAGAGCTAGAAGCCACTGACCGAGTAAGGATCTAAATTCAAGATTCTTAACTCCAAAGCCCAAACTTGTCAATAATTCTGCCACTATGCTATAATATTCTCCCACCAAAATGTCATCAAACAGAAAAATGAAAAACAGAAAGGATTTTAATTCTCACAGAATTAATTTTGGTTCCATTAGCTTTAGCTAGGTAGCAACAAGGACCAAATTCTTCAAAATTGGGCAAGCCTCAGCATCTGTGGCCAGAGAACCTATCAAGTCAGTGACAATGAGTTCTCGGTGGGTGACCACCGAGATGGTCCTGATGACAGTGGTAACCACAAGCATGAGGGCAGGACACCCTGTCGGTGTTTACCTACTTTGGTCTGTAGGCCCAGGGTGCGGAAGAACAAAACAAGGTGGGTCATGAAGCGGAGCAGGTGTCCAGGAAGATTGCTTCTGCTCTTGGAAAGCCACTTGCTAAACTCATCCATCAAACCTACAAGGTGTCACACAAAGTTCAACAGTGAGAACACAGAGAAATGAGCATCCCAAGGGGTGTCTGGGTGTCTCACTGCCAACACCCACACCATGGACACTTTCCACCTCCAGATATCTGGGCAAAGCTCAGATTTGGCTTTATAGTGACAAATAAACACGTTTACACTTGAGGCGGTGGATGACTATAAGATGTAGTGTGTCATGTGTACTGCTTCAAGAACAGTTACTACAAAGAGGACTGCCCAGAAAAGAAGAACCCAGGCAAAGTAAAATAAAGCTGCATCTTACCATCAAGGTCTCCCAGGATAAGGAATTTCTGAACTACATGGTAATGTTCTTGATTCTCTTCCAGAACTCTCTGAAAAAGTTTTACATTTTCGTAAGTCTTCTGTGTTCATTTTGAAGGATGTATGTATTCATTGCTACACTGAAAATGATATACGAAGCTAAAAATGAACATGAGAAGGATGCTGCCTTTAGAATATATCCATAGCACAAACCCAAAACTGAACACTATCTTCCATAAGACAATCTAATATTAGGGATTTTCTTTCTTTCTTTCTTTTTTTTTTGGTTTTTCGAGACAGGGTTTCTTTGTATTGTTTTGGAGGCTGTCCTGGAACTCACTCTGTAGACCAGGCTGACCTCAAACTCACAGAGATCTGCCTGCCTCTGCCTCCGGAGTGCTGGGACTAAAGGCGTGTGCCACCACCGCCCAGCTATAGGGAATGTTTTTAAAACATCCATTTATTTACCCTGCGTGTGTGCATGCACATGTGTGTGCACACATGTGCCATAGTGCCACTAGAGGTCAGGTCAGAGGACAGTTTGTGGGACTTCAGATGTCCATCCCACATGCGGGTCCTAGAGAGGACACTCAGTGGTCAGGCCCGGCCTGGAATCTTTACCCGCTGAGCCACCTGTGGGCCCCAAACTTACTATTCTAAACACTTGGCATACCACAGCAAACTAGAAAGAAAGGACCCATGAGTCTTAGGCAAAATAAATTACAAGATAATCTTCAATACAAGCTGCACTACCCAAAATAATTTTGAAGCTGCTTTCTTCTACACGTCAGGGAGAGACAACAGTTGGTGGTAAGACAGCAGCCGGCCGTGCTTTAAATATATTCTAATTTTTTCTTAACAGTCTTTTAACATTTCTTTCTATATTCAAAACATTTGCTCTATCTGGCACTAAACCCAATTACATGGCATTAGTCAAGGCTGTTTCCTTTCAGATGGAAGATCAATACTGCCAGGACTGTTACCTTACATAATCACTGTTTCCTGTGAATCGGAAGGTTCAGGCACAAATACCAATACAAATACAAATACAAGCCTGCTCTAATTTAGACATACAGACTCGCTCTGATTTAAGACACACAGGCTCACTCTGACGTAAATACACAGGCTCGTTTTGATGTAGACTTACTCGCTCACTGATTTAGACACACAGGCTTGCTTTGATGTAGGCATCCATACATGCTGGCTATAACGTAAACATATATGCTCGCTGATGTACACCTGTGGGCCACTGATCTGCTTACCAACACTAACCACACTGCACTGCTGTGTGCTCACCGAGTGAGGAAGTGAAGTGCCCTGCTGCCTTTTCTGAATGTTTTAGGAAACTTAGCCTTTTAAAAAGACACCAATAAGCCGGGCGTTGGTGGCGCATGCCTTTAATCCCAGCACTTGGGAGGCAGAGGCAGGCGGATCTCTGTGAGTTCGAGGCCAGCCTGGTCTACAAAGTGAGTTCCAGGACAGCCTCCAATGCTACAGAGAAACCCTGTCTCAAAAAAGACACCAATAGCAGTAAGCTCACTCATCTTAACACACAAACTCTACAGCACCAGAACCAACCCGAATATCTTCTAGTGGGAAACAAAACAAAATAAAAAATCTCTACACCTAATTCTACAGAACATATTACAGCTATCAAGAACAGTGGAAGGAGAACAACTAACAACAAAGTATAATGACATGTATATGAAGATACTACGACAAACCCACCACCTTGAATGCTAACCTAAGGAAAAAAACATATCTTTTAAAACAAAGAGAACATTAAAGTCAGGTATGATGGCACACACCGGAAATTCCAGCACCTGGAAGTCTGAGGCAGGAGGAGTACCAGGAATCTGAAGTTAGTCTGGGCTTAATTTTAAGTGCCAGGCAGTTAGAGCTATTCAGTAAGACCTTCTCTCTTAAAAAACAACAACAACAACAAAAAAAAACTAAAGAGTTGGCTAAAATACAGCAATTAACTTGGAAAGATTACCACTAAGTAAAAAAACAAGCTATGAAGCCATGTGATCTGAAAAACCCCATCACTGTACTGCAGTGATCACTGTACTGCGGTGTCTACACCACACAGAAACCAGACGCTGTACTGCAGTGTCTACACTGCGCACACTTATTTGAAAGGCCGTAGAGAAGACACAGGATGTAAGTGTTGATATGGTTTACTGTCTGAGGAAACAAGAACAAAAGGGTTGGAAGGTGTAGTGACATTGGTGTTACTGACACATTTGCTTTAGTTACTGGGGGGGGGGATCCTAAAGAAGTGTTTTTCTTTTTGTTTTGAGACAGGGTCTCACTATGTAGCCCAGCCATTCTTCGAA